CCTGTCCACGCCCTGGCCCACGCTCACGTTTTGGCTGTATATAAATCCAGGATTCCTCATGGACATTTCAGTTTCCGCCTTCTGCCCTGAAACAAAGGGGAGGGGAAATGAGCGCTCAGAGTCAACATTTAGCAAGCAATTTGCAATATAATCAATGATACTCTCATTTGATGCGGGGGAAACTCCATGTAGCGGAGCAGTTCGTTCCGCCTGCTTTCCAGGTGGGAGCTTCGAAATCTTCTTTATTTATAATCACTCACATCCGACATCAAAGGCAAGGGGCAGGAGGCAGGGGTCAGGGACGGAACACACAATTCTTGGCCTTTTCTCTTGGCTGTTTGTTTGGCTTTGCTCACCCAGGGCGTGGTCGTGGTCGGGAAGTTCTATGGCACTTTAATTTGCGAATGGCCTCGTTCGGGGATACTCGTTTAATGATGCGTGCGGGAAAAGTCCGATTCGGTGCTGGAGGTGACGAGAGCGGGAGGTATGTCCTTCGCCTCCAAATTAATGGAGCTTGAAAGAGCGGAGAAGCGGATGAGTGGAGAATTTACAATGATTAAAACCGAATGGCAAGTGAATCGCACCGCCTGCAAGAGAATGGCCAGAAAGCGCTTAATCTTGTCTTCGCCGAAAAAGTGTCGCCAGCAAGCGGCGCCTTGCCTTCTGTGCCGCCCTTAGTCCCCCTCCTCACAGTCCTTGCAACTTTATGCAATTATGATAATAACAATGAAGCACAGTCAACGCCTCTTTGTGTGGCAGCAAAGCGGGCAGGGCAGAGTAGGGGGTAGGGGAGAAAAGTAAATGAAAATGCTGCCGCCAAGTTGGAGGCACCGCTGAAACTTTTCGAGTGCATAATTTCCAAGAGGCAAGGCAGAGGCAAAGGCAAGGCAGAGAAGGAGTCCGAGTGGGAATCTTCAGTTTGCTTTAGTCGGCTGAGGCCTCACACATAATGAAATAATTGCTACGACAGCCCAAAAAGCATGCAACGCCAGTTGCCAGCAGTTGAAGCAGCAAGGGTTCTAGCAGGGGCAGCGGGGAAAAGCAGTGAAAAGCAGCAAAAGATTGCCAACAATTTTAATATTGCAAAAAGGAGTTTGCTTTGCAGCCCCAAACATAATTTAATAAGTAATCCATGGCCCAAGCTGATGCTGCACCTCGCTCTCTCGCTCAATTTATGTCGTATATTCAATTTTCACGCCAACACACGGATATATGTACGTACACTTGTGTCTGGCTGGCTTTTGGCAATGGCCAAAGAGTTCTTTTTAGGCATTTTTTGGGATTGGCATTTCAGATTCCTTGGGAGCTTAACTTAATTGCCAGAAGCTGCACATCCCATAAATTTGTGGCTTATTGGCAGCCAGAGATAAACTTGGCTTGTAATTGAGAGCCCAGGGAGTGGGAAGAGGAGGGGCGATAGCAAGATGTAGAACATTTGCAGCTAATAAATTGTAATGTCTCCGCTCTTTCTCTCACTCTTACTCGTACATATGCATTACATGTGTAATTTGTTACGAAATTAGAACTTTTCTGCAGCTAAGAATACGCTCTCTCTTTCTCTTTCCTTCTGGGTACTAGTAGTCGCACTCAAACGTGAGTATAACCAACTTTTTTGCCGAATCTCTGGCTAAAGAAATAAACTGAATGAAGGAGGAGGAGGAAAAGGATGATCCACATCCTACGACGTATCCTTTTCATCCTTCTCACTTCGCACCCGGCCGAGACGGATACGAAAGTTGAGTAGTCTCTGGGCCAGATTAATTTGTAGCCATTGGGGAGGCCATCCCTAGCCCCGCCTCTGCACCACCCTTGACTCTGCCCGAATGCAGTTCAAGAAATTGAAAAACTTTTCCCTCCCTCTCTCTTTTTCTGTCTGTCCCCTCTGTTCTTTCGCTCTTTCGAGGATTTTTTTGTGCTGTTCATGCAGCAGTCAGTCAGTGCTTCATTCTTGTCTGCGGGCAAAAGAACACTGTTGAAAAGGGGAAGGAACAAAAAAAAAACACATATGCACATAAAGCTCACACCCACCCACATCAAGCCACGCCTCCTGCTGCAATGGCAACATGTGTTGCACAACGCCTCTCCATGGAAAAGAGCGGTGCTGGGTGCTGAAATTACTCAAACTTGACTGCTATAAAATTCAAATTAACTCCTTGGTGCCCCAGCCAAAGGATCTTTCGCTCTATGTGTCCGTTTGAGTCCGTGTGTCTGCGCCCGTGTCCGTGTGTGTGGCCCGCTTTATGTGGCAGCGCATTGCTGAGGGTGGGCGGGGGGCGTGGGCAGGCACTGAGGCGACAAGACCTAACGTTGCTTCACTCTAATATGAAAAACGAAAACAAATCTTAATTTAAAACGAGGGGGAACGTTGTGAGTTGCTGCTGCGACCGCAACCATACTATTATACCCGATACTTAGTCAGTATGTCTGTCCCCTCCCCTCCCCAGGCAGACGACGCGTACATTGGCGAAAATCAGTCTGAACGTGTCGTCCGCGCTGCGTAGCGACCGAAAATTGATTTTTTACTTTTGGCTATAATAATAATCCGATCTGATCAAACTTCGGCAATCTGGTCATTCTCTATGATTGTGCATTTTTAATTTTTCCGTATCTTCAAAATTGTGGATGCCACAGATTTTCGTTATTTGTTGGGCGGAAGGGTGTCACATGTAACAGTGAGATCTAAAAGGAGTGCTCTAGCTCATATAGTATCTGACCACTAGGCGATTATTGGGACGGAGAGACGGACGGACGGACAGACGGACAGACAGACATGGATCAATCGACTTGGCTATTGATGCTGATCAAGAATATATGTATATACTTTATGGACTCGTAAACGCTTCCTTCTGGACGTTACACACATCCATTTTCCCCACAAATCGAATATACCCCTATACTCATTTTGAGTATAGGGTATAATTATTGTTGACATTTGGCGCAACGCGTTCGTTCTGCACTTTTATGGACATCTACTCCACCACTCCTCCCGCTCTGCCGCTTTCTTTCACGACTCTTTTTTGTATGTGTGTATGGCTAACACAGATGAGTAGGCGGCAAACGAGGCGATTAAAATGGTAGCCTGCCGACTTCAACAAGTGCCACCCCATCCCCCTTTCCGCTAAATGAATGTTCCAGTTCGAGTGAATGCTGTATAAATACCCGAAACACTCGAAAATACTCAAGGGGAACGCAAACGGCAGGCGGGAAGCGGGGTCCTATGTGCTTCGAAATTTTTTATGGAGATCCCTAAATGTGGGGTGGAGTAAATATTTTATTGTATGCATGAGGAACGCGTCTCGTCTCTAATTTGGCCAACATGTGCAGGCCAGACGAAAAAAAAGATCCGCAGAGGTGGGCAGCCAGCCAGTGAGTGGTCCAAAGGTGGGGCCACATTTTGATTAATCGATCTATGGGGCATACTGAGAGTAAGCTGAGAGTCGTGCTCAAAATCGTCTAACATTCGAAAGAATTTGTAGCTTACTGAAAGTCGTGTAAGGAATGAGACGGGGGAGGCAGCTTTAAGCCCAAAGTGGATGCCATTTTGAATTTCGAAGCAAGTCAAGCGACTCTCCATTCCTCCCAGAGAGACTAGAGGGAAAGAAAGAGAGAGCGCTGTGGAACTCAAAAGTTTTGTTGCAGCAAAAGTTTTTGTTTAACTTTGTTACGCTTCTATTTTTTATGTGATATTAAGAACGCGTTTAACCCCCTGCCCCTTGCCCCTACTCCTTGGAAGCTCGAACAAAACTTTCGACTCACACACACACACACACAGCTCATGTGTAACTGTGTGTGTTTGTGCTTGGGTATGTAGGACACAATGTCGCATGCAAAAAAACATTCAATATACAAGGGACAAGAGAGACAAACATGTCCCTGGAACAAGTTTTCCGTGTGTCTACTTCGTTTCTCCATCCCTAACTCTCACTCTCTCTCCATCCTATTTGTGACTCGTTTTCAATTGGTTTTTATCACTGCATTTTGATTTTCCTCCTCAATGAGTTGCTCAATTGTTTGCCTTGTTGCAACTAGCAAGCAACTTGGAACTTGCCCCCCGGCACTGACAACTCCGGAACAACGGAGCTGCAGAGCAACTTGTGGCAGGAGCAAGTTTACTTTTATTGCATTGTCGTGCGGTTTCAAGTCGCCGAAAAGTATGCTTTTAATTCTCTTCATTGCATGTCTCCACTGCGTTGTTGCAAGGCATGTGGCATGTGGCGGGGGCACGGCAAAGAGCCAAGCCGACAAAACTTAAGCCATTTCAAGTAGCGAACAGAGAACTTGCAGCTGATTAAGCTCTGAAATATGACTCACTTAAGAGTTGCAAGTAGTCGCGAGGCAGTGGAGAAGCCGCACCCTTCGGACCGCAAAAGGACCAACAGCCATATCCATGAGGCTGCCACCAGGTGAGATCAATTCCCGGTTTCGTGTGGCAACCAAAGTCATTAAAGCCGGAGCGAGGGACTGCCGTTGAACATGCCCCTAAACTCGACTCAACTCGACTCATTTCGATGGCTGGGCGTGTTGGGATTAGTTGGGCTGCCGTGATGCCTCCTCCTGTCGCAAGCTCATAAAATTGTTTAACCAGCAAAACATAAAAAAATAAACTAAAGTACATATGTATGTATATAAATCGTGCGACAGTGCTGAGGAAGGGCGGAGCAGACACGCATCGTGTAATTAGCTTTGGTATAAAAACATAAAAGCAGAGAAAACAGAAGAGCGAACTGGAGTGGAGAGGAGAGGAGGGCAGGGGAGGGGAGGGCAGTGGAGAGGAGTGAAATGAAGTGGAGAGGCCGAAGAGGAACGGACCGGAAGCTGAAAACTGTCTGATAAAAGTTTTAGTGCGAATTGTTTGCCATTTAACGGCAACTAATTAAAATTAATTGTAAAGTAAAGCTGAAAGCTGAATACTGAATTTCGCACCATTTCCGTGGAAAAGGAGGTGTGACAGGGGGGGAACGGGATATGAGAAGCAGTAAAATATTTAACCCAAAACTTACCTGATGATGTCCATAACATCCGCACAGCACTGCCCGCATAGTCCGTCGACGAATCTGCAAATGAGGTTGAAATAATAATTTTAATAATGAAACCGGAACCAAGGAACAGGAGGAGGAAAGGGAGTGGGGGAATAAACTAGACAGCCATTTGCATAAATATGTTTTTAACGCCGGGGGAGGGGGCGTTAATGGGCAAATATATAATTTTTTCGCTTTATTGGCTTATAAAAGACGACTTCGGTTTTCCTTCGCTGCTCTAAGCTGAAAAATTTTTCCATGCCGCCACCGGCTATATGACTGCACACTCTCACACCCGCCTTTCAACCCATCCTCGAAGACCTATGGCTGTGGCACAGAGCTGTGTATAACGGGCGACCTTCAGAGTGTGAGAAAGCGTGCACCTTGCCAAGTTTCACGAGTGGCACGAAGGGGTGAAAGGGGGACCGGAAAAAATAGACACAAGGAAAAAAGAGGTTTATGCAGTTTTCCCGTTGCTACCAAGGAAAATGCATCGAGCAGAGAGAGAGAGAGAGTGAGAGAGAGAGAGAGAGAGGCTGGGAGGGAGAGGGACCTTACATTAAAATTGAAAAAAGAGACCTCGATATAGAATTATTTACATACGGGAATCGAATCAACCCGAACCGCATCATAGACATCTCCTCCAAGTGCTCCTCCACCTGCTCCAGCTCCTGCCACTCCTCCTGCGCCAGCGATGCGGCGGCTCCTTGTCAGCCTTCGTCTGCATTTCGAGCGCGTGGCCTCCCGTATTTTACACAACAATTTTAACTGCATCGTGGGGGCAGTGCCTTTCCTCGGGGGAGATTGGAACACAATTGATTTAAATGTTTGCGCGCATGTTCGGAGCAGAAAAAGTGCTGAAATTGCCACGGCCCGAAAGGATTCCACGTAATAATATGCAAAATGGAAACAGAGGCGACGATGCGAATGCGAATGTGGATGCAGATGCAATTGTCGCCACTGCCACTGCTACTGCCATTGTAATCGTTACTTCTCCGTGCGGCATGGGCACGATGTCAACATTTTTCCAACTCAATTACCCGGCTGCCGCGACGTGTGTGGCATTTGGAAAGAGAGCGAATCTCAAGCGGCAAGATTTGGTTGGTTATTTAGGTGCGGCCGGATCCGCCTTCAAGGCTTAAAGGCTCCGTGCAAATATAAAGGAAAATATGTGGCAGCAGCAGCAGCATCAGCAGCTCTAAGCTGGCGCACGTGCTGATCCCGAGCAGGAGCAGCTACCCACAATTCAGTTGTTTGCTTGCCACAAACAGACAGAGAGAGAGACTGAGTGGCAAACAACACCTTGCACTAATAAATAAACAGAACACAGAGAGAGAGATGAGAGGGAGAGAGGACACCGGCTAATCACTCATATAAATAAAGCCACCCAACAAAGCCTCGAAACACCTTTAGTGAGCCACCCGCCAGCTCCCACCTGCATCTGCTGCTACTGCTGTTGCTGCAGTCTGCACTCGAATACCCTTGACATGAGGCAGGCAGCAAAGCCACAAACAGATGAGCAGGGATACCCGGGGATTCGGTGCATCTCTGGGTTAACCCTCGCTTCAGCTTCAGCTGCTCCTGCTGCTGTTTGGCATATGTAAATTATGACAGTGCCAAGTCAGGCACTTAGCTTGAACCTGTCTGTGCCTCAACCTGCACGAGTGTGTGCCCCCAGTCACTCTGCTCGGATATTTGCGCTCCATCCTCGCATCATCCACAACATCCATGAAGAGGAGCAGCAGGAGCAGCTGCAGCCTTGCCTGCTGATTGCAAAAGTCAACTCTCTGCATCTGCCTCCGCCCCCTGCGTCGAGTGTGTTTGCTGGTTGCACTCGAGCGAGCAAATACTTTATTAACACAGTTTTTGGGGCAACGTTGCAGGGACTACTGGGGGGAGGTGGATGGGGATGCGAGCAGAGCAGAACTAATGAGCAGAGCAGCTCTTGTGTTTGCATTTTGTTTTCATTTTGGCTTACGGCTCTCGAGTGTTCTTTGCCGCACTCATAAACCGAAACTTAAACACTTCCCCTCCCCCCGAGCAGACCATGAAGCAGACTCTTTGCAGAAGGAACGGGCAAATTATAATTGATATCACAGGAAAGGACACTGCAGCAGACGGCAGGAAGGGACTCTCCCTCCACACTGATACTTTTAGGTTGCTGTGGCACATGCCAGGCGAGTCAACAGCTTGAGGAGATTTGGATGGAAGAAGCCACAGCCAATCGAGCGTCGAGTGGGCACTTCACTCGAGTATCCTTTCTTAGGGTAGGACTCTTTCTCTTCCCTCCCGCTGTCCAGCGACAGTCTTCCATCTATTTTTGTATTTCCATCTATCTACCGATGTCAGCTGCAGCCGCTGTTTTGTTTGTTTTCCCCAATCCCACCATTCCCCGATTACCCTTTCGGCTTTCCTTCTGGCTTGTCAAATTTTTTGATTGTCCTTTGCCTCCAGCCCAGTCTGCCCCGTTTGCATGTTGGCCACGCCCCCTATTACTAGCAGTTCGTGTCAGTTCGAGGGCACGTGTATGCGTGTATGTACGGTCGTATGTACAGCCAATCCATGTCACTATTTTCATATCTCTGCCCCCGAATACCACTTACTGGTGACGACGCCGTGGCAGTTAATAGTAGAACATCGCCTGACTCGGTATCGGATGTCTATCTATAGATATCAATCCGTTCATCTGTCTATCTGTCTGTCTATCTATCTATCTATCTATATATCTATATATCTATATATCTATATATCTATATATCTATATATCTATATATCTATATATCTATATATCTATATATCTATATATATATATCTATATATCTATCTATCTATCAATCTATCTATCAATCTATCTATCAATCTATCCATTCATCTATCCATTCATCTATCCTTGCTTCCTTCCATCCATTCCTCCATGTCTGTCGCGCCCTGCTTCCTTCCTTCCTGTCTGCCTCCCATCTGCCCCGTCTCATGTTGATTTCTGACATAATATTGACAGCTTAACAAATCCAATTATGCCCGACTCCCCGACTCGCCCCCAACTCCTTTCGCAGCTCCCTCGAGGAGCGAAATTGCTTGCGAAATATTTTAAATGGCAATGGAGACGGAGAAATGGCTTTAACCTCTCTCTCTGTCGCTTTCTCTCCTCACTGCTCAGTGGAGCGCTTTAAGCGCTTTGCATTCCAGGGCATTAGCGGCTGACCAGAAGCAGGCTGTCTTGCTCCTCTTCTTCCTTCTAGCCGGTAAATTGCGTAGGTGTGTAATTGAATTATTGCACTCGATGCACAAATACCAGCCCCACCATGCAGCATGCAGCATGCAACATGCACAGATACACACTGAGACTCTTGGCTGGTCATAAATATGAAATTTTCATCAAAATGAACGTAACGGAACGCCTCCTGCAACAATTGCAAGGCCTAAAAGTATGCATCACCATTCAGCCAGTCTCTCTCCACCTCTCTTCCTCTGTGCTCTGCAACCATTTTACGGTTTATTTTTGGGCATTGAATGCAAATATTGGCATAAATTTCGGGCATTTGTGGTTACAGCAGCAGAACCGCAAGCCAGACGAGGAAGTGGATGAGGAAGGATGTTGTGACATGGCCCAAGCAAAGTGGGGCTCATACTCATACTCATGTGACTGACTCCTGCATTGTTTGCCATGACGGACAGTATTGTCTTGGATTTTGGATATGGATTTGATTTTGGACTGTTTTGCCTTCTCACAAAATTGTGGCTTCAGAGCTCCGCTTGTGGGTTTGGGACTGGGGGCTGGCTTTCTGGTTTGAGGTTCAGTTCGGTTCAGTGGAAATCAATTGGCTTTTGTACTTGCCCCATCTCTAAGTGTGGCACTTTGTGGCTGGCCTTAGAAGGCCATGAATATCTGGGCCTGGCCAACAAATTTAATAACATTTACATGGCAACACCGGAAGCAGTCGGGAAAAGAGGCAGGCATCGGCATTAACATTGGCTTGTCACTCGCATATGTTTGCATGAGGCCGGCCAGTCGGCAAACTTTAACTAGTGTGTCCCCTTCGCCATAGATGGGCATATACTGGGACATATCAAATCCCATATATCCCAAATTCTTCAGACTTCAGATGCTCTTCAGCCATTTCCTTGCGACTGTCTCTGTCTCTGCCTTATCCACACATGCCTGTGATTTATGTGCTTGTTTTTGGCTGCCTGCTGGACATTTATCAAAGGAGTGGACAAAACATACAAAAAACAAAGGAGAACACACTTAGCGAATAAGAGAACAGGCCAACTTCGGCTTCTTGGAGCGTTTATTTTGTGGATGGCTGTGCTAGTTTAGCCATTTAAATTTCACTCAGAGGCCATCCCCAATCGATTGGATTTTGATTTGATTATATCTTTAATTCGGACTCAGTTCAAAATTATATTTTTCGCACATTTGTGGGCAGATTTCTATGTGTTTTGTGCCAGCCCTTCGTCGACTGACATTCAGAAACATATAAATATCCCGTATTTCTCGTACCTCTTCCTCCCACACACAACACATTTATCTGAGGGCCGCCCAAATCAATAAATTAAACGCTCTCGATACGCCCGCTCCCCCGACTGCCCTTAAAGTTTCCACCAAAAACTTTTCAACCACGATGTGTTTTTAAGGCTTTTCCGGAGCCCGTAAATTGTTGACGGAAATTGGCAAAAACATCGGAAAACTTTCGACTGCCTAAAACTATGCTAATTTCCGACGTGCGCGCATTGTCTACAGTTTGTTTCCAATCCAATCCCATTGCGGGGGCAAACCCCTGCCGGGGCATGCAATACGATGCGATGCCTCCTGCCACATGTGTCCTAGCGGTTACCCCAGAGAAGCATCAACCCCTGGACCAGACCTTATCCCAAATTCTTGACGGAATTAAGAGCATTGTTCCATAACAACAGACCCTCCAATCATCTAACCATCTTCCCATCTCCAAGAACAACAATTGACACAAATGCAAACAATTTCTGCAGGAGTGCAGCAGAAAGATACCTCTATGTACCTCTCAAATGGGATGTTTCAATGCTCCTGCTCGTATCCAATTAAAATAGTTCGCATTTTCGCATGTCATTTGATATTTCCTAATCCGCCCACGCCCTACGCTGAGAAGCTGTACCATTCCCACTTTTTAAAGGAGCTGTTGCCATAAAAGCATAAATTGCAAACGCAATTCGCAGACTCTGGCCTTGAACACATTTTAATTAGTCAGCAGGTCATTGCCACTCGATGGTTTTCATCCTCATGCTAGAGCTCCTCGTGAGGAGCATCCTGTGCCGTTGCTAGAGCTCAGCGGGTCTCTGATTTCAGGCAACAGCCTCAAAGAGTGATACAGATTTGTTCGTTTCATTTTATTCGCTAGTCGTTCGTCCTTTGCTTCCTTCATTTATAGAAAAGCTACTTAGACACGACTTTGGCAGCAGCAGAGGCAGCAGCAGGACAGTAGGACAGCAAAGGCAGCAGGACAGCAGCAGAGTCAACAATGGGGAGCAGGATGAAAGGCATTCCTCCGACTGATGTTCAGTTGCAAAACAATTAAGCTGAAAGCAAAGCTGTGTATTGAAGTGTGGCTGAAAGGAGGCCGGGCCAAAAACAGATGACGAGACGAGGCGAGGCGGCATTTGAAAAATGCAAGGAGATAGGCGAATGGATGGCCAGGGGATGTGGATGCCCAAGCCGATGGCAGGCAGATGTGCCAGGGAAGAAGAACGATGCCCCGACATTAGCATTAATAGTGTGGCATTAATTTTGCGGCCGTGGCAGCTTTAAGGAATAAAGTGTGCTCCAGCTCTTAGCCTGGCAATTATCCGAAAGAGGAACCTCTATTAATTTTGCAGACCTCGTCTGCAAGCCCTTACCCCCAGCTCCCGACCCCCTCTCCGACTCTGCCACAGCTTAGGCCTGCCTTTAAAATGCATATAAGCCCATTAAGTATACCATGTAGAGATGGGAGGGGGCTTCCTGTTCGTGAGGAGCCCACTTGACAGGACGAGGCCGAGGGAGAACAAATGTTTGCATATGTCAGCCCCGCCCTGCATAAATAATTAATTTAAAGCATCCTTTTAGGCGCCTCCCCGTAAAACTGTAGACAAAACTGCTTAAATATGCATAATTACCTGAAGCGTCCAAGTCAAGTCTTCCATGCTCCATGCCCCACGATCCCGGAGCCCAGAGCCACCGGAGGAGAGTCGAGAGCCAAAAGTCAAGCCAAGTCAAGTCCGGGGCCATCCATTACATTCCGGAAGTGCCTACGTGTACAAGTGTGTGGAGTATGAAGCGTGGAGGGTCTGTATGTGTGCGGGTAAGTGCGTCCTGTGTGGCATGCAGCTTGGCCTGAAAGAGCAGAACGGGCAAATTAGTTGCAGAAATACAAGTATCAGCCATATTCATGAGCAACAATACCTAAGAACCCACGTGAATTAATACAATTCTCGAATACTTTCGAGCAATTTGCAAGGAGTCTGACAAAAAACCCGCAGAAATATTCGACTAATTGTGGAAACCCCATATTCCATCCTGGTTGTTGCCACTCGAGCACGACTCCCGAGTACATCAATAAAAATCAGATTAATGTACTGCTAATGCGATTTAAGTCGCTCTCTCAGCCGGCAACAGCCTGTCGCCCTCAGTCTTTAGTGGCACGCAACATTGTCATGGCATGCCACACTCCCCAACATTCCTCCTCCTCCATCCCCATCCTCTGTAACATTCCCATAAATATAATTACAATAATAAAGGAAATATTTACAACAATTGTAAATACTTTGGAGTCGACCCCGAATCCGGCTCTACTCGACACGCACGGCCTCAAATTAATAAACTCCAATTGGTCTCCTTTCCCTTTCCACGTACTACCCTACGTCCTCATCCTCTTCTGTCCTTATTGCCGGGGCTTCCCGACGAGCGTGTGAGCCCATAAAGACTTCCTGCCTCTAGGGTCGGCTCTCGGGGGTGCGGTGCGTGTGCCAAGGAGAAGCAGAAGCAGGGACTGCTGATGGGGAGAGGCCGCATAGGGCGTGTCGAACTGTGACACTTGTCACTGCCACTGCCAATGGGAGAGCGCTGACTATTACTTTTACAGCCTTTGCGTTGGCCTATGCCGGAGAATATTTTGCACCTTCCTCGACCGAATCTCTACAGGGATCGGCAGGGCACCCCCCTGTTATCCGTTGCGATAGTAATATCGTGATTAAACTGGAGGCACACGCCACAATGTCATCATAGTAAATGTAGTTAAGAGCTTAAGAGGACTCCGATTCCGAGTTTTCTCTGTTGGCCACCCCGCAGCCCCCCCTTAACTACTTTGTGGTGCCCTCTGGGCGTGGCATCTGTGCCCCCATTCGCTGGACAATGGCAGAAGAGATCCTTGAGGAACGACACGACACTTCAGCCGCCACGAAATTTATGATTAAACCACGCAGCGCTTCCCCTGCTCACCCTCCCGCCTCCCCCCCACGCCATGCTGCTCCCCTACTTCCTGCTTCCTACTACCCCTCTGGCTGTATGCTAAAGAGATCAGTAGATGGAAACAGTGGGCCACAATGGACGACGTTTACCGCAAGCCAAAGTGCCACACTTAAGTGAATTACAAAGGCAGCCGACTGGGGCAGGACTTGGGCAGGACTGGGACTGGGACTGTTCGAATTGGGGCAGGACTACCAGAGAAATGGAGATGGAGGTAGAGGTAGAGGTAGAGCAGTCAACGCGTTGACAGCCACAACAAGCGGCTTAATCGCATTAGTGCGCCACCCCGCCACACAGTAAAGCACATGGCAAGGCGGTAAGGGGAAGGGGACGGAGGAGTCAAAGGGGAACGATCCAAGAGGCAAGTGCGAACTGTGAAAACTGATTGTGCGGCGCCTCCAGCTGGGGGGAACGGAAACCTAAGCTGCGGCATTGTGAGGCAGCGTCACTATTTATACAAAGGGAAAAGCCAGCAGGCGGTGGAAGCAGCAGATGTGGCAGGGGCAGAGCCAGGGGCACGCAGGCAGCTATAGGTACCAGGAACGGCAGCAGGCAATCCTCAGGACACAAAAGTTCAGCAGGAAATAAAAAATTCGTATTTATATTACACAAAAATGTTTTTTCCAGCCCCAGAAAGGGATGGATGGAGGAAAGGAGCGGGAGGGAGCCTCACCCCAAAAAAAAACAATTAATCTACGACACAAGGCTGGGACATGGCAGGGGGCAGAAGGCACGAGGCACGAGGCAAAAAGCAAGAGGAGGCCAAGCCAGTCAGTGGCAGAGAGAGAGCGAGAGCCAGTGCCAGTGGCAGTGTGGCACTGGCCGGGGCAAAGGCAAAAAGTGCTTATTCCTGCTTCCTGCCAGCAAATCCAATAACTTATCTTGATTTTATGGTTATTTCAACAAAGGCCGGAAGTAGTAGGTGCAGTCTCGAACCCAGGACCCGTATCCGGACCCGGCAAGGACCAGGACGACAACGAGGAGCGAGGACGAACAATTGGCGAAAAGTTCTGTAGAGTCCGGCAAGAGAAGGTCTTGCATTTTGCACTTGACATGTCATTGTGTGTGGTAGGGTGGCAGGGTTTTGATGAGGGCTGGTGGGAGAGATAGGGTAGGATGTCTGTTGCAAGGACTACCATCCAGACTGTTTGCCACTTCTTTATGCGACACTGTGCAACGGCAATTGACATATGGCTTCTTTTCATTTCGGTCTTCGAGTTGTAAATTTTAAATTAAATATTTTATTAAACTGTCCTACAAATTCCCTGCCTATACCTCTGCCCCTGCCAATCCTTTCACTTCTGTGAGTATTCCCACAGCAGGTGATGGGACTCTGATTATTGACATTGTCACCTGTTCCCGCCCCTCAATCCCGTCCCGGCCGTTGTCCTGCCGCTTAAGCTGACATCAAAAAGATTAATTGTGTGGAAGGTAACACGGAAATCTGTGTGCAGGTGCGTCTACCGTCCGGCTGTCTTTGACATTTATGAGCCGCATAAATCTCTTGGCCCTCCCCACCCCCCACCTACAACCATAAAACACAGAAATAGACAGCATTTAAATGCAACATAATTCGCCTGGCACTTCCCGCTTGCCGCTCTACCCACTTGCCCCTCACCACTAATTGATTACACAATCCCCAGCCACTTAATGGATCCTCGTCTGTCCTTCCCCTAAGCAGTCGTAGTGGAAAACTGCCCGAGATTAGTCGGGGATTAGTCTTAAAGAGTCAAAAGGCCCCACAGGGCTGTGTCTGTGTCCGTCCCACTCTGGGGAAGGTTCTATCCTGAGAGCTTCAATTAATATTTAAATATATTCCCCGTACTCGACGCTCGCCCCAAAAGTTAATAATCAAATTATTTTGTATGTAGCTCCGAAAGTACAGCGTCAATTTCAAGTTGAGATTGAAAAACGTAGCAGAGTGGCTGTGGCATGGGGCATGTAGCTGTGGGACGCACCCAATGGGAGGCGCATTAAGCAGGAGCAGGAGCAGCTGCCAGCAGCAGAAAAACAGAGCCAGGGATGGGACTGTGTCTGATAGAAAGCATTGTTATAGAGCAACTTTTACGGCAGTGCGAGAGGCAGAGACAGAGGCTGATAAGCGGCAACTTTTTTCCACCCATTACATATTCATTAAATTAGAACAGAGAGCAAAGCAGATGGGGCGAAACAAAGCCTTAGATACTCTTGCATTTGAGTACATCTTTTCGATGTAACCTTCTCTTGAGCGGCAAAGATCTAAGCCATATCGCTGAGCCATTTATACTTATTGGTAATGGGAGAGGCCTCATCCCCTTTTCCTCCTTACGCTTCACACCTCCAGTTCTGGCCTTGTCAACGGCACAGACGGCGGATGGAGAAAAAAACTCGTTTCCGCGGCTGGAAATTACGCAATTCGGACTCTTGGCCGTGCGCTCTGAGGTCTGGGATCTGCCATATGCGACGCGGAGTGGGAGCTCGGAAATCATTGCACAAATATTTCCTCGGGGGGATCCATAGACTGATGTCATTCTGTGGAATGGGAGGGGCCACCGACGCCGCTACAGTTTGGTCTGCAGTTCATTCGAGACATACTTGCCAATATTTTATAATTAAATGACATTAAACGTCTAAAAAATTACGCGCGATAGCAGGGCGCGCTGTAGGGTGGGTTTTGTGAGGTAGAAAATCGTACAAAAATTAAAAATCGAATAAAGCGAGCAAAAACCGCGAATGTGGCAGTATGCGGGACCATCATTTCTCTCATATAATTCATGCCCCATGTTGTGTCTATTATCACACGATGCAATCAGAAGGGGGAGAGCGATATTTATGTGGAAGGAAGGGGAGACGTGTCTGCCGTCTCTCTTTAAAAGGAAGGACAAATATACAAACGAAAATTATGGCCCACAAATGCGTTCATTTGTATACAATGCCAAAAGGCAGTTTAATGGCCGTAAGCCACGAACCATGGGTCATGGGTCCCTCATATGCAAACAGCTAAAACGAGCCTATCCCGATTTCTCGGGCAGGATATGCGTAATCGAAATACATATCAAATAAATGCCAGAAAATAATGTTCAACTGGCAAAGTGATTTAAATGCCTATTGACGAAATGAGTGCCGCTAATTTGTGTACAGGCGGGGAGGGAGGGGGCGATGAATGAAAACTGCAAAATTGAAAAACTGATTTTTATATTGGAAAATTTATTTATTCAGCACTTATTTGTATCCGTGAGGCACGTGCGTGTGCGTTCATTGCAGCCGGAAACTGCCCACAAAATATCCGCAATTAAACAATCAGAACAAAAATTACTATTGTTGAGTAGGAAGTCGATACATCGCTGACAATGTTGTTAGTTGTTGGCATTAATTTATTGATCCCCGGCCCACGGCCTGTGGCACGGCAATTAACTTTTCAACAAGGCGCATGACAATTGCGCCGAGGAATTGAATGGCGAATGGATGGGATACCATTCAATGGCTGGCTGGATTTATGGGCCAAGTTTTGTGGCCCCTTCCAAGACGAGTGGGTGCCCATATCTTGGCAAACATTCATTCATCTTTATCGCGCTTGGGCGGCTCATTCCATCAAGCAAATGTTTGCTCTGCTCCGAGAAGCCGTAGGAAGGAAGAATGGTCTCTGCCACTGACTCTGCCACTGCCTCTGCCTCCACCTCTGTATGATTGATATGTTAATGCAGCACGTATACGCCGCGTGTGCACCGTCATCTTCAACGCCCTCATCTTCCTCAACTGAATGCTGCTGCTGCTGCTCCTACTCCACTTTTCCTGCTCCTCTTTTGGTCTCCTGTAGAGATTTGCATATAGACATAAAATGCAAATATCTACCGCCATCCAGCGATGTGTCTGCTCAGAAGAGCGTTGTAGGGGCGGGGGCTCTGGTTGGGGAAAGAAACGTATCTGGAAAGTTGTGAATATGCTGCAGATGTTGACAAAATGTGTGTAAGCATAAATTTACGCAAGTGCAGGATGGCGGCAGGCCACCAGCCACACCATTTCTCGAGTTGGATAAACATTTTCCGCACGTTCCCATCCCCCACCGCCACCGCCCGCGCCTCTGCCCGATTATCATTTTCCAACAACTCCTTTGAATTGGCTTATTAGACGCGTCGCTGATAGGGGGAGGGAAAGCGGGCGACAGGGACTCCTTTAACGAGATGAACTGCAGGTGGCCGCCCCTCCAGATCCCAGATCCATCTCTGTCGCTGTTGCTATCTCTGCCTCTGACACTGCAGTGTGACATGACCTGCCGCTGACAATGTTGCTCGTTTGTTGCCAGGTGAACCTGCTTCCCTCCTTCGTCCACGTTCTCGCCCTTGTTCTCCGCCGGAGCTGTTCGCTTTTGTTTGTGCGATTGGTAGTGATTTGTTGGCTCGCCTCAGTCCATGGGCTTGTTTTTTCGGGCCCAGTTCTTTGGGTCATCCTCTGCCACAGCCCTGCCCCCACACGAACTTCCTTCTTACCACACACATCCTACATACTGTCGTGTCCTGTACTGTAAAAATAAAAAGCCGCCACACAAAGGCCAGATTCAGAGACATAGTCGTTGGTTGTGCTTTCATGTTTCAAGCTGTGCTCTGGTCCATGCCATATGTCCTTTGTATAAACTCCCACACCCAATCTTAATACCCCTCTCACCCTTCTTGCTGCTGTTTTTTGCCTGCTGGCTGGTCCTTTTTTAGCCATTTCCCCTAAGCTGATTTGGGGCGTTTGCTGTTTTCACTCTCTCCTTTTTTATGTTGCTACAAATGGGCGTATGAGCGATATTCTTGTTTTTGCTTGCGCCTTTTTTTGGCAACAATTGATTGATTGAATGATTGATTAATTGAGCGTTTTGATAAGTGCTGTCTGTCTACCAGTCTATCTGGTGGTCGGTCTGTCTGTCAGTGAGGCCAGGACTGCCTTTTATGGACTGCCGACCAAGGAGCAACGGACTCGCTCTTTACGAGATCCGTCCAGGATTAACAGCAGCGCAGATCCAATTTGAAGATCTCTCTCCGGCCAACAGGAGTCGTCGATGCACAGCTGTCCAGACAGCAGTACCCTCGACACAGAGCACTCGAAGCTAGTCAGAGCTCTCGAGGGCTGGCAGCTCAGGAACTTGGGAACGAACTCGCAAGAGTTCCTCCAAGACAAAGAGTACAGACTCCAGTCGCACTCGAAACGGATTTCGTTGTAATGCAACCAGCCCAATAACAATGCGGCAGTGTGGCAAGCCCGAAGCACGAGGGAGGAGAGTTTATTCTTGGCACAAACTTCAATGCACAAACTTGCAGCTGCATTCATGCGGAGCAGTGGAGAAGAGGAGCATCGCCTTGCAATTAGCACGCATCAATAGGCACGCTCGTGCACTCCACTCCGCTGGAGAGGATGCTGCGTGCAGCAGAGGATGCACGCGGCACAAAGGAAATAAAATGGCTAAGACGAATGCTAATCAAGTGCCGACCAAAAGTCATCCACCTCTGGGAGAGACAGAGACTCTCCAGAGTCTATTCTCTGCCACGTCCATGGTCTCCCGTGGCCGTCCGTGGAGTCCACACATGCCAAGTGCCATAGATCATAGTCACTTCCAGCTGCGAGACATAAAAAGCACAAAATAAGCAAACGCCAAGGCGGAACTGTAGGAGAACTCCGAGAGCTGTGTGTCTGTGTTTGGGTGTGGCAGCAACCGCGCGGTGGCACATGTTGTTTTTCCTGGCCAGAACTTTTGGCACAATTCATGTAAATGTTGAATATGTTTAATTGTCGACAGGCATGCCATAACAGGACGGTGGATACCCCTCCTCCACTCCTCCTGGATGCAAATCCCCCTGAGACTTCTCCGACAACAGCGGGCTTTGAGGATCGAAGAAAATGGCAAGTCTTATACCATTTCGTACTCCAAAAGCGTGTAAATTAAAGCGTTCCAAAGAGAGAGATAGAGACAAAATAATAGCTGGCGATGTGGCTTAAAGGGTTTCGGGCTGGAGTTAGGTTTAAGTTACAATCAATTACTGTGGATCCTCTTCGCATTGTTAACCTGTCCGACACATTTAAATGCAATTTAATGCAATTTATGGCCAGGGAGAACCTGTTCAGCCACTGAATCCTCCCCTCCCTCCCCCTGGATGGTTTATTGTTATGCAAAAGCATATGCATGCCACAGCGTCTCCTTCTGCACTTCTGCTGCTGCCACTACAACTGCTGCTGCTGCTGGTGTTGCCACAGAGAACAACGACTCTTATTAAAAGCGGAAACAATGCGCATTTCCGCCTCAATTGTGCGTGTATGCGTTTGAGTGTGCGTGTGTGCACGTGTCTGTGTGTGTTTGTCCGAGTTGGCTGTACATGTATAAGGGCCTGCTTTTCGCCCCGCGGCAGGCACGCAATGCGAGGCACTGACTTATTATTCATGCTGCTGCTGGTGCTGCCGCTGCTCCTGTTTGTTGCGGCTGATAAAACTTAACAATTTATGGATGGGGCTGGAGGGGGGCAAGCAGCAGGGGGCGTGCCCCATTGAAAACACTTGAATGCACTCAAATAACGAGGCCCATAAATAAGCAAAGTTCAATTAAGCGGGTCCTTCGAGAGAGTCCAGTCTTACGTTGCGTATACGTAATATACGAACTCAATGAAGGAACGAAGCAACGAAGTACAGGCTGCGAAGGGTTAACGTCCCAAGAAGTTGCTCTCCAAGCAGGACTCTTAATATTTTTCCAAGAAATTCTGCCGCTTACCTCATCTGGAATTTTCCAGAGCCAAAAGCAGGAGCGAGGAGTAGGAACCAGTAACCAGATACCGAAAAAACATCTGAAGAAGAGAAGAAGAAACAAAAGAAATATTAGATAAAGTTCTTGCTTTTCCTTCCCTCAGCTCAAAATCAACATAAAATTCACATTTGTCACGAAAGAACCCTCAACTTTAAAGGAAGCCATCCAGCACCAGAGCCAAAGCCAGAAGCTAAGCAACAAAACCGCTCAGATATATCAATCCGCAGTCACATGGATGTGTGGGTTGGGGGCAACCACGCCACGCCCACTTGTAAGACACAGCCAAATGGGTGTAACTTTATCAGATCTCCCCCTCCCCTTCTCGAGATTCTTCTGGCCCTGCCACTTCCAGACGCGTTCTCAGCAGTTTGTGCGCTTTTTGTTGTGTTTGTTGTCTCTTCGTCCTTTGTGAAAGGGCAGGGGTTAAGCGGCCGTCGGTCAGAAGTGATTTCTGGGTTGTCTCTCTAAACTTATTTGGCCGTTTTTAATGCCATTTTAAATACAACTAACTGAGGGCCAAGATGCTGGAACGAAACGAAAGCAAACCAAACCAAGCCGAAAGCCATGGAAGCGGAAGTGCCACCTAAAACTTGCCACAGGCACACACACGAAGCAGGGGCAGGCAGAGGCAGAGAACGACAGAGGCACATATAGACAGAGACAGAGAAGCAGAGTAGTGGCTGTGGCTGTGGGTCACAAAATATGCTGTCATCACGATTATCCTTAACGTCGTACGGTTGCCAATGCCAGTTGTTTCCTTTTCCGTTATAGCCATGACTAGTACAGTCACAAACACACACACAGGCACTGACAATCACATGTGATGCTATTGCGGATGTGTACGAATCTGTAAAACGAGCCACAGGACAAGAAAAGACAGAGACAGAAGCAGCGACAGAGTCCAGGGCCAGGACCTGTTAGGAAAAACGCATCGAATACTATTCGATAAAAGCCAAAAAAGCAGAAGGTACAGGCACAACGAAATGCTACCCAATCGTCTCTTCGGATTGTGCGTTAGCTACCGTTGTCTCCCACACAGACACACCCACATACACAGCCCTGTGTGGCCTCGAAAAAACGATTTCGATTCCGTCCTTCGTTGGCCTCACCAGTTAAGGGGGGAGAGGAGGTCAGAGAAGATAGCGATAGAGGACTCTTTGTTGTCTACTAATTTTGATTCTAGCAATTTTTGTGTCTCGAAGTTTTCCACCGTTCTCCCTCTCTCCACCTCTTAACTCTGTATTTTTTCCTTTTTATTTGCTTTTCATTTCTTTTCTCGTGGTATGCATAATTTTCTCTTCGTTTTCTTTGTCGACTGCAAATTGAAATTTAAAATGTATGCAAGTTTTCCTGCTGTCCGCCCCGAAAGGGTTTTCCAGTCGGTTAATGGCCACAGGGCCCCAGACACACACACATACAGGGCAGAGTGGAGATGAGGCAAGGACTTACATTTGATTCTAATTTTTGGTCCCCTTTTGGTGTTGGTAATTGCCCCACAAAGAGAGCAAAAAGCAGCCGAAAAGGCGACGGTCCGCCAACTGCCACGCCCTGCAGTCAGGCTGTGGCAGGAGGGGTGCCGCTGGGGGGACTCGTGTCTAAAATCTCCTGCCATTCCATTCCAGTCCGCTTAATCACTGTCCAGCACGCAGTCCCATCCTGTCGGTCGGCGACACATCCAACATCACACACGAATAGGGGATCACCATCGCCATCACAGCGTGCCATTAATTAAAAACAAACAAATTTGAAAATGCACGACAGGCACACAGAGAGGAGCAGAGAGTCGAGGCTGGAGAGGATGGGAATGGGATGCGACAGCCAAACTGTCAATGAACAATGCCAACCAAGCCGCCTGCGGCGATGCCCAGCGATGACCAGCACGAAGCCCAGTTCCAGGCCCAATTCCAATGGACACTGTCAGACTGTAGTGGCGGGTGTGGAGCCTAGTAGGCGACAATGCTGCTGCCCTAAGCGTTTTTTAATGCACAGCGCAGATTTCCTACAGCTGCCAGAAGAAGAACTCGGACACTCTGCCTCTCTTCCTCTCTGCTGCTGCTTTTGCTACCTCTTTGCCACTCCCTTTGGTAATTTCATTTTATTATTTTGCAGCTTTCTGCTGCCATCTCGCTGCGTCCTGCCCCACTTTGCAAATATAAAATTATGAGAAGAGAGCGCAAAAAATTTCTGAAATTTCCCAAATGGAAACAGGAAGAAGGGCACGGAGACACGAACATGGTCGCAAAAACAGATAACAGTTCCGCTTAAGGTCGTAGTAACTACAGTCTGCCATCTGCAGTCGCAGGTTATGGGACTAGGTGGATCCTTTCCTGCCAGCACCCTGTAATAGCCAATTTTAAGGCAGCTTTCAGCTGAAGATATATCGAGTCTAGGGAACCGCGTAGTCGGTTCTGATCAGCTTTAAGTTTCTGGCTTCACGGCCGCTTAGGCACAGAAAATCCTCAGCACAATGCGGATACATATACCTAGTGCTGCGAGTGCCACTCGCTTGCAACCAGTGCCATATGCAGCAAATGGCATTACCCACCGAGCAGGTGCAGGGGCAGGGCTACAAAAAGTGCACAGTCGGAGGGAGAATTCATACATGGATATGCCCAATGACGGTCATCGTGCTAACTGCTTTAAGTGCAGACAGAGGCAATGGGAGTGGCGGTGGTAAAGGCAGAGAGCCAGCGTAGGAGGTAGAGAAATAGGTGGAGCAGCTGCAACAGCAGGCACTTCAGTGAAAAATTGAAATTGAAAAAACGACAAAAGTTTGCGGCCGCATCCGGAGCAGAGTCCTCATACGAGTCGTACCCATCCGAGTCGCCATCATCCTTATCCGTGTCCGTGTGCCTGCTGCTGTCGTTTGTCGCATGCAATAAGTGCTAGTTGAGTGGCGGCACTTGAAACCAGAGCCACACATTCAATTGGCCATCTCTGGGCTCCAACCCCAACTGCCCTTCCTGCCTGCATATATCCTGGCCTCGATCCTGGCCTGGCCCTGGCCCCGACCGGTCCGACTGCATGTGTTTTCTGGCAGTGCTTCGGATTTCACTTTTGGCCCTGGGTGTCGTTGGTGGCGACCTGACGCCGCCATTTCCGCCATCCTGCACGGAAGTGGTGGGAATTCTCCTCCCCCTGCTCCCTCTGGTTGGTGGGGGATTCGGTGCCGTGGCCATTGCATACAAAATATGTTGCATACTTTTCCGGGCAGCAGGAAGCAGTGCGGACGGGCAGCGGCGAGCGGCACTGCTAGGCAAAGGCAATGGCAGAAAAAAACAAACCACACGACAAAAAAAGCCAGCAATCAAAATGGAAATAAAACGCGAGCGGCCAGGGGATAGCCAGAGCGAATGTCGACCAAAAGTTTCGTACTCGTACAAATAGTGGCCGTGCCGGAGGAGCTACGCGAGCGGGGAGCTCCAGAAAGAGGAGCAGCAGACAGGACATCAGCAGACCGCTTAGAAGCTTTTTCTTTCGTTGCTTCTTTCATTGGCTGTTGCAGGTTTTGTTCCTGCTCAAAGCCGCCGCTTTATATGCATATATGTACATGGGACAGGACACATACACCCCAACCACGTGTGCCCCTCTCTTTGTGTGTTCTGTAACGAGCCTGCTGACAAGGACAGGGCACGAGGAGAAGGAGCTGGAAAAACAGGAATGGGTAATGTCCTTCAGTGGCAGTGGCAGCCATTTGCCAGTTTGCGGTTTCCGCTTCGCGTCCTTTCGTCGTGCAATTTTAGTTTTAGTTAAGTTTTTAGTGGCGTCCACATCGGCCATTTAAGCACATTTGTCGTCTCATTGTCCTGCCCCACAATACACATCCACTTACACACCCCCCTCACAACCCTTCTGGTAGCCGCCATCTCCTTGTCTCGCTGACCACCGCTGACAGTGTGCTAATTAGAAGTCCTTGTTGCTTGTGGCCACAACAAAACAGACGTCGTCCCTCAGACCCTACCCAGTCGCTGCCACAGCACGGAACAGGACAGCCCCCACACCAGAACAGACCAGACCAGGACATAAAACCAAGGCAGGGAAAACAATGAAAACTACTTTCAGGCCAAAGTCAGACGAGGCAATGCTCGTAGATGGCCAGAGGGAGTGTGGGAAGGGAAGCCTTGCTTTTTGGCCATAAAATGCATGGATGTCCTGTCACGTTCTGCGTGCACTGCAAATTTTTATAGCGATTCCTTCTCCAATTCCCAGTTGCGGCTCTCCTTCCGATATGTGACTTTAATTTCGCCCAAAAAGGGGGGCTGGAAGAGCGCGTGTGTCTGCCCAAAAATCCCCCCCGCAAGCCACACATGAGAGGCCAAATCGTTGGCCAAAAAATATAAATAATTGCTTTGTTCGCTCAACTGTGAGAGGTGACGATGCGGGGATAGCGGGGATTGCAGGGATTGTGGATTGTGGCTGGCATTGTCTTCCAGTGCAACGCACACTAGTTCTCGTCTCAGCCAATCCCAATCCTATCCTTGGCTACTGACTTCAAGCCTCGGGACCACCACATGACTTCATTTTTCCGCCACCCGAAAGTACGTTTATAAAATAAAATTTGTTTATTATGAAAATGCAGCGATGCGAGGATAAGCAAGTGCCAGGCGAAGCCGCAACAGAGTTGGCCACTTGACTGGCCAAGAGAAGAGTGATCTCCCCGCTGCCCCAGCCACAGCCACAGTCCGTGCCGACTCCTCTTTGTTAATTGCTGCGGTTTCCAGCTCCATCTCCATCTCCTGGATAGCCTCCTCCTGCTCCTGCTCCTGCTCCTGCTCCTACTTCATTGGTTGCGTTTGCCAACAGAAATAAATGAATATTTTTGCGCCAGCTTAGACATGAGTGCAGAATAAATTGCTTGGCATCTTCCGAGCTGAATTATGCTGCATTTGTCTCTTTGCCTCTGCCTCTGCCTCTGCATCTCCCACTGCAACTCTATCTGCATCTGTGAGCTGTATATGTATCTGTATATGCGAGTGTTGTGTGTTGTGTATGTCTTGCAGAATATGGCAGGGAATGCGCTCGAG